ATTTTAAATTTTCTAATTTTTAATTAGAAAAATATTGTAAATAGCAGAGATAAAGGGTATAAAGTCATGATGATATCATTTTAAAAATTACAACAGCTAAATTGCTGCTGTTTCTTAATAGATTGCAATATTTTAACTAAAGAGAGAAAACAGCAAAACATTTATCATAATGTATAAAAAATTTAGCATGATATTTGATATAAAATAACTATTCAAGAAATACTGGTGCTATAATGAACCATGGATTAAAACAACAAAAATATGAGAACCCAAAATGAAAGGGAAAACTGAGAACTGATTTCCTAGAGTATGGATTTAAACAGAAATTTGAAGCTCACAGAGAGCAGTAAGGAAGTCTACATTTTCAGGCTCTATCTTTTGGGCTCTCTCATAGTATTCAGTAGCTTGCTTCTTTTCTCCCTCAAGCTTATAAACAAATCCCAGGGCACTTAAACTCTGCACATCAAAAGCATTGTGACAAAGTCTCTTGGTAGCCAATTTTTTCAAAGCACTTGTCAGTTTGATATGTAAGGATGACCTGTCTTTGACCTTTAAGGCTTTTAAATAATGGCGGATGGCAGTATTTTCAGATTTACGGTGAAATTCCTGAAAGCGGCCATAGTGGTAGTGGATCTGATGTTTGTGATCATCAGTTACGTTCTCCAGACGAAGGGCTTTCTGGAAAACGTCTTCAGCATTGCGATACTGCCCTCCCTCAGCATACATGTTGGCAAGGTCCATGTAGGCAAATGGGAACATAGAGTCTCGTTCCACAGCTGCTTTGAAATGAAATATAGCAGATGTGATCAGCTCATCAGCCTTCACTTTATCTTTTCCTTTAGGTCTGTTGCGTGTTGGCTTCTTGATTTGGATCATTTGTGCCCTGTAGCAAAGTCCCATCTGGTGATGCAGGAAAGAAGAAGTTGGTGTCATCTCTAAGGCCTTCTTTAAAAGTTCAAGAGCTTTGTCCCAGGAATTTTTTCTCCTGTAGAATTTGGCCGCATAACGAAGGACATAAGCTGGGATGATATCTGGTCTAGGATTTCTTCAATATACTTTTCTCTTTCAGCTTCTGCATGTACATCTTGAAGCTTCAGTGCCAGAAAAACCTTAATGTAGGTGTCACTTGGGTTTAGAGCAACAGCCTTCCTCAGAGGACCCAGAGAAAAGCTCTTCACAGATCCTTCTCTGTCAAAATCATCCAGCCGGTACACTGTCATGGCATAGCCAATATTAAATTCTGGGTTGTCAGGTTCTACTTCCAGAGCCTTCTCAAAAGCTGCATTAGCCTTTTGGTAATACTTTCCTCCAAATTTCAAGACTGCCCATCCTTTCTCACAGTCAATCTCAGGACACTCCAATTTGTAGTTAGAAGGACTGGACCACCTCTTGCAGATATGCTCTACCTTGTCTAAATACTTCTGAACTTCTTCAGGCTGGTCCATGTGATAAGACACCCAGGCACAGTTTCCCCAAGTGACCAGACTTCGAATTTCCTCCTCGTCTGCATGATCCCTTTGGATTATTTCTTCTACTTGTTTCAAGCACTTTAGAGCATCTTTATGTTGGCCTTTCAGATGTTTCACATAGGCCAATAAATTATAAAGAGCAAGTCTGGATTTTGTAGTAAGAAATTCAAGCTGTTGCCCAATTGTATCTTCTACCTCAAACAGATCAATGTCTTCCTTAAGTAAATTCCACGTAAAATGACATTCTAACTCTAATAAAATGGCCTTCAAGGAGTCCTTAGGAATTTCACTGTAAAAGATAAAATTCTTTTTTTAATTTTTGAAGAAATAAAAGAAATATTTGTCAAACCTTAATTACTGTTCTTTGCATACCAACCAATAAGATCTCTTATTTGATCTTAAAGCTCTAGGTTCCCATGACTTCACGCTGATTTCTTTATGTACAGTTATATCCCTGAAATATTTCATTCAAATTCTCATTATTTATTGAAAAAGCAATTCTAGAGAGATAACAGGGCTTTCTGTGCTATAGTCCGCCTATTTCCTTTTGGCAGTCATTAAACCTTGAAAATTAGGAATAATAAAGATATATTCAATAATTAATATAAAATTCCATTTCTGTACTTTGAAGGAGGAAAAGAATGAAAGAAAAAGAACTGCATTGGAGAGGACAGAGAAGCCAAACAAATGTTTTATTTTTGCAGGAAAAGGAAGAAAGACAGAAAACAAATAAGTTCCACAGAGACAAAAAAGCACAGAAACAGACAGGAATTGGTATACCAAGCAAAGGAAAGAATCTAAGTTTGAGGTAGATTAGAGTAACAGACATTGAAGGAAAGATGGAGAAAAGGAAAAAGGAAGCTTTGAAGGTTTCTATGTCAGTGGAACCTCCTTTGGCCATTTGAGATCAGGAGTAACAATAAAGTCAGACTCTTACTGTTAACTTATTATTTCTTCCAGAGATACTTTTTGAATTCCCTTTGTAAAAGACACTGTTATCTCTGCAGAGCCCATTGAAGATATTGTTTCTGAACTCAGGAAGATGAAGGGGAAGGCAGGAATAAGAAATATATTTTCATTACTGAGATCTTTTTTGTACAAGATCTGAACAATTATGGCAACACAACTGTGAATAAGATACAAGCTTGCTTGTACGGAACTTATAAGGAAAGAATTATACGAAGCTTATAAGAAAATAGTCAGTTACAACTCAGTACTCTAAAAAGCCACATGGAAGCAACTTAGGAAGGGTGTACAGTTCCAGTGCTATGGACACCTATGGCTTTTACTTGTCGGTTGCAAACAGCAGAAACCCAAGATCCCATCTTTTGGTTTTCCCCGTTGGAACCACTTCTTTCTCCATTCTCAGTTCATCCAGTTTGAGAGGAAGCAAGACAACTCTCAGCCCAGTTCTGTGGGATGGCACAGATAACCTATCCAAATAGTCTTAATAAAATCTAACTTTGCTGAAATGGGACCTTGCTGGAACTATCTGTTTTTCCTCTAAAAAAAATTTAACTTTGTAAAAAAATAAGCTTGCAGTTGTTGGTAGCTATCTTTCCAAACCTTTGGTGAAAGCCTGCTTGAGAAAGAATCTGCCATGGAGAGTACAGACCACCCTTTCACAAAACATTACTATGACGGGAGTAGAGGAATACAACCATAGCTGCAGAGAGATTGCATTTTCTTAATCTAAACCACTATCTTCTCTTTGATACAGGTCAAAAATCTGATCTTTCTGCTTCCATTCCTAGCTCTGTATGATTTGATCTCCACACAGCACCATCAGGCAGATTATCTAACTTTCCTGCTTAAATAAACCTAATGCTTAGTCTCCCAATGGCTTTCCAATTCTGTTAGATATTAACCCAGCCCTTGCTATGTACCAGAAGTTCCTACAGCAGCTAGCCTTGTCTATCTGTCCAACCTCTCCTACTATTCTCCTGCTCATTCACTATGATTTAGACATACTTACCTTCCTCCTGTCTCCAGCAAATGAAGTCTTGGGGCTTTTTCATCTGTTGTTCTTACTCTACCTGGTGTTTTCAGCTCCCAATTCTTCCATGACTAGATTTCCTGTAACTCAGCTCAAATATTCCCTACCTAATAGGCTGCCTGTGATAGGGCTATATAAAATAGCCATCTCCAGTTTGATTCACTCTCTTACTCCATTACACCATACTGTTTCATTTTCCTTATAGCTCATCACTTTCTGGATTATGCTATTTACCTACTGTTTGTCTATTTCCCCCATTAAAATATAAACCCCATGAGAATAGCAACCTTGTTCTGATTTTATTCTTTCATCTCTATGTACGCCAGGCATATAATGGAAGCTCCATAAGTAAGTATGTATTGATGAAGGAATCTAGTATATACTATCAGCCACCAGTATGTCCAGCCCAGAGGCATCAGCCTAGCATAAAAAGCACATGAATTTCATATGAGGGAATTCCTACCAGTTCCTCCCTACCAGATGATGGCTCCAAACTTTTTTCCCAGTTTAATAGTCCCCATACGGCTTGTTTCATATCCTGACTTGCACTCTATCTGGCTATGTTTGGATTCTGAAAATATATCTTGGATTCCCATGATCCAGACTAGATAGGACTGGCCTTTGATAACTGCTACTTCTCTTGTGTATGCACCAAAAGCATGGAAAAGGCATGCATGCTCTTATAGCCTGCTCAAATCCAGGAAATATGGCCTCACTGGCCATCATGAACAAATGAACACCTGCCTCTCTTTCATGATCTCAACCAGCCCTGCCCATGGAGGATGAAGATGAAGAAGGCAGCTCAGGCTTTGGGTATGTAGCTGTGAGATCTCAAAGACACATTCAATCAGGTACAAAATGCTTTGCTCAGACTTTGAAATTTATGCACAACTGGACACCATAAGAAATTTTGCTGTTTAAACTTTAATTTTTAATTTTTTCTCTGGGAAGCTGATAAAGAGAGGCAATGACAGCTGAAAAGGCAACATTTATTTTTAGATAATTTTGTTCTTTTGCTAGGAAGAAGCAGATTTTCATTGTCTTAGGGAGACTGACCCACGTGGGGTCAAAGCCTCTTTCACTTCATCCTGTATACAAATACACTGCCTCCTACACCCCTTTTCCTTGATTCTTCAAGGCCCTCCCTAGTATCTCTCCATTCTCTTACAAATGATAGAAGTGAGACACATTAACTTGTAATAATGACATTAACATTTATTGTGCCAAGACCATATACTAAGCATCCAATTAACCCTTTCCACAGTACCAAGTTGCATTCATTTTACAGATTAAGAAACACGGAGTTTAAGAAACATTGCTTTGGGTCACTCAACTAGTAGGTGCTCAGTTAGGATTTGGAACAAGAGACTACAGTATTTGCTTCTAGAGACCAAGACAGTAACCTCATTACTCAGCTCTTGAGGGCGAGTGGTTCACTAGCCGAGGACGGCATGGTGTTAGCACCCTGGGGATTCATAATGGGTAAGAAAAGGAACTTAACATGATAAATTAGTAAACGAGACAGAGAAATCCTCATAGAATAATGGGTGAGTAGAGAAGCTCCTGGGAAGGGAAGAACGCGGTGCCAGGAATCAGAAATGCAAAATGGCAGTGGAGACAAATGTGACGCCAGGAGGCGAAACCTCAGGTGCCACACGGAGGAAAGGCAATCAGAAAGAGGCCTGGGAAGGAAGGGCAGGCAACAAGCCCCAGACACCCGCGCCAGGCAGGAGCCACCAGGAATGGCCCAGGGGGCTCCCCACAGGAGAGGGAGGTGCAGGCGCTGCCCAGCGGAGGCTGAGGCCAGGGGTGAGGAGAAGGAGGGGACCCTGACCTTTGAGGCTCTCCCTGGCAGGGACGGGCTCCAGGGGCGTTGCCCTGCCCTCGGCCCGGAGGCGCCGCCTGCAGGCGCTCGCAGCTCTGGACTCCGGGCCCGCCGGGGCTCCCGAGAACTGAAGCCTGAGAACAGCACGGCTCGGACTAAGGCGGCACTGGCTGGCGGAGGAGCGGGGAAAGCTTACCTCATGGCTGCAGAGCTCCGCGGGCTGAGCGCGAGGCGAAGGGGGCCTCGCGCGCGCCCAGGACCCGGCGGCGGCGTGGGCGCGCGCGTGTCTCCGGGGGTGGGCAGCTCGGGGACAGGCCGCGCCGTCGCTTGCGTGCAAAGCGGGACCCCACGGGAAGAGAGAACTGAAACCGAATCTGATCCTAGCGCCTGGCAGGTTCAGCTCCAGAAACCAAACTGATGCGAAAGCCTGGGAGCCCTGGGGAGACCTTTGCGGAACGCAGGGTCTTTGGGAACCTCTGTCCTTTGAGCTTGCCTCTGAACCTGCCACACTAAGTGAACGTACTCCTGGGTTAATTTTGTTTAAACAAAAAAACAAGAGGTTGATCGATCAGCTTATTGATTTGTGCGATAGTGGAGATTGAACCCCCTGCCTTCACACTGAGCTACACTCCTGCACCATTTATTTATTTATTTAGTTAGTTAGTTAGCTAGTTAGTTTTGAAAGAGGGTCTTGCCATGTCATCCAGTTGCCTAGGATGGGCTTGAACTTGGGATCCTCCTGCCTCAGCTTCCCAGAGTGCTAGAGTTACAGGTTTACACCACCATGCCCAGCTCAGCGTTCTTTTTGTTGTAATGGTAGCAATGATGCTCTTTCCAGCTTTTGGAAATGAAAGTCCCCGCTTCTATTCTAGTCTTTTGATTCAACAGCGACACTGCAACATTATATACCACGCTATAGTTTCTGTTTATTGTTTTAAAGTTATCAAAACGTGTATACATTTTGTTTTGTTGGATATTGCTGAATATCTTTGCAAAGAGGTATACACAATCACACCTGTGATTATAGGAAATTGTGATTTTTTTCTTCTGTGTCCTTGCCAGTGGTGCTTTGTGTCAATGAATATGGGGAGGTGGTGGTGGTATTGGAAACCTAAGCAGAAAATAATAAATACCCATACAAAACATTTTTGTCCTCTCTGAATTCATTCATTCATTCTTTCAACAAATTTTATTGAAGAACTGCTAAGAGCCAGAAATTGTTCAGAATACTGTCAGTACAGCAATATACTGTATCATGCAGACAAGGGCCTTACCCTTATGGAATTAACTTATAGTGTGAGGAGATAAATATAATAACTAAAGCACATTAAATGTCAGATGGTGCTGTGAGAAAAAGCAGAGACAGGGTTGGGGTTACAGGGTGTCATATCAATACAGTGGTGAGGGGAGGTTTCAGTGAGAAAATGGCAACTGAGCAAAGATCTGGGTAGAGGAGTGAGATGAAAAGAAAACTAGGCCCAACTCTTTCCTTCATCCTCTGACAGACAGAAGGAGCACAACCTGTTACCTGTTACGCCTCTGCCCTCCATCCCCATGGTCTGTTAAAGTGGCCTGGGACAACTAGTCTCAGAGTCTTCCCACCACCTTCGGTGACTTCAGCCACTGCCTCCAGGTCCTGCTGACAGACACCTGGCTCCAGTGATGCCTCTTCTCCTGCTGGGCTGCTTCCTCCCCCTCTCAGAGGAGTGGCTGAGAAACCACTTCTGACAACACAAAGATTGGAGAGGGACTGGGGCCTATTGATGTCCCAAAGTCCCCACATCCCAATGGACCATGATCAGGGTGTCTGGATCTCCTGGAGACCCTTGGAAAGCAGTAGCAGTCACAATTTCAGCCCTGCCCTTTCCCCCAGAAACTTGGGTGCTGTCAATCAAGCAGTACTTGTCAGCCAAACTGTTGCCATGGTAGCTGATGCTGTCTTAGGTGTCCTGCCTGAGCTCTGGGAAATATTTACTTTCCTAGCAACAGGCTTGAAACACAGACCTATCCCAGATGATTCTGCCCAGTAGTCACTCCTGATGAACCCAGTGCTCCATTACTATGAAATCCTTAAAAACTTCCATGCACAGCCCACTCCTGCTCTGTGAAAGGAGCTCCCTTACACTCCTTGGTTTAGTTGATGAGGGCTCCCTTGGGTATATTGACCCCCATATACTATAGCACAGGTACTGATAAAGCCTCCCTCCTCTAAATTCTTATCTTGTGTAGTGTGACCAGACCAGATCACTTTAAAAGGAGTTGGCTACACTAGGCACTGCCAGCCCTGAAAAATTCCAGCAACAGAGACTGGCAGTGTTGACCGGGGCACCACCTCCAAAGAACCCCAAGAGGCAGCAGAAGCGGATAGAAGAGTGCCAGGTAGCTGCCAAAAGGGCTACAAACCTCTGCTGGTTAGGAGCTGACGGAGTGGCTAAAAGCTTCCAAGGGCTATAACATTAAACAGCTCTGACACCAAGGGCCTAAGGCCACTGGCATTCAAAAGATGGGATTCACTAGCAGCAAGAGTGCAAAGACCCCAAGGTGGGTACATACTCAGCAAGCATAAATGGTATGGTTGGAGGGCAGAAAGCAGGGCAAAGCCACATGAAATAAGGTCAGAGAGGCAACATGGGTGTGGTGGGCCTATAGGCTAATGCAATATTTATCGGAAGTGGAAAACCAAGTTTTACAAAAGAAATCAAAAGATTTATTTTGCATTGAAAACTAAACCTAGAATTTCCTTCTTACAAAGAATATAGCAAAATTTAATAGTGGTCTAATGTTTGAAAAGTTTTCCAGTACACTGATCACTTTTTTCCCTTCTGTGTTTATAATCCTTCCCTTTTTTTACCCTTAGCTGCATTTGGGTTAATAAATAGCTTTTGTTTATTGAAGTTTAGATGAATTGTAATTAAGCAACCAGTGGTAAAAATCTAGAGGAAAAAATTGTTGGTTATATACTTTTATTGCTTAAGAATTTGAATTAAGAATCATCTATAAAAATTTCAAAGGAATATACATTTTCAGGATTGAGAAGAAACACACATCTGACTATGCAGTGAGTATTGAATATGCCAATAGAAGGAATCTGAATCTCATTTTCTAACAGATTGGATTGGGTGGATTTTTGAGAATTAGTTTTGTTTTCTTTTGAATGTGTTTATCAAGATGTTAGACACAATGACTGGGGAAAAAGGGAAGGAAAAAAAAATGAAACATGACAACTAATCTAAAACCTGCTTGGGAACTGAAACAGCGAAGGTAGGTAAGTGTTCCCCGAAATAGTCCTTCAGAATAAATACTCACTATCAGTAACTCTTCCAAGAAATAATGTAACTCTGAGTTTCTAAGCCTTGACTGTATTGACTTTTTGGACTGGGTTATTTTTTGCTGTGAGAAGCTGTTCATTACATTGTAGAATATTTAAGCAGCATCCCTGTGTATGTCCACCAGATGTCACTAGGAAACCACAATTGTGACAGCCAAAAACTGCCTCTTGGCATTGCCAAAGCCCTCTGGGAAACAAAATCCTTTCCTCTTACAACTACCACACCACCCTGGTTGAGAATCACTGCTCACTTATATTCCTAACTAAAAAATTAATCAGCACAACATGTAAGAGATATGGGCCTGACTTCAAATAGGAGAATAGAAAACGAATATAAATCAAGAGAAATTGGCTATGTATCGAGATTCAGGAGAGAGGCTGGATGGAAGGGTAGATTTTAAGGGCTGTATCAGAGAAGACTTATCCGTTCAGCATCGAACTTCTGAGTGAAAGTAGTTGTTATCACATTTGCTCTGGCTGGGAACAAGACCCATATCTGAGGCCACGTGCTAGTGGGTGCTATGGGTATGGTTTGCAGGTGTTTTCCAAAGTTTCATGCATCCAAAGTTTGGTCCTCAGTATAGCAGTGTTAAGGAGTGGTGGAACGTTTATGAAATGAAGTTTAATGGGGGTTAGAAAACTGTCCCTCCCTGCTCTCCAGCTTCCTCTGTTGCCACCAAATTGCTCCCTCACATGGGCACTCCACATGACACCGTCCACTATGACCTGATGCTGTCTGGGCTTTCAGTCTTCAACACTGTGAGCTAAATGAAACTCTTTTCTTTATAAGCATTATAAGAATTATTTAATATAGGCAACTATTTTGTTATGGTAATTGAAAACAGACTAATAAACTAGGTAATCCAAGCTGGAGCAGACAACAGAGTAGATACCTTGATTCCCAATTCAGTTCTAGCTCTAGCTGCATCATGAAAATGGAGACTGGGGGTCAGAGTGGTCCACAAGTGGCTCTCGCCTACAGTGATGTGTGGATAGCAGTTAGCAAAGGCTTGGGCTGGGGCACCTATAGCAACAGTGAACGGGAGGAGCTCTTGTTGGCTTGACTTAGGAGTCAATCTAAATAAGGTCTCCACTTGGGGTTCTGTCAGCCATTTGCATGGGAATAACAAGTTTCTACAATTCAGCTGCTAATTTAAAGAGACTTCTCAGTGATGCCTGGAGATACTCATGCATAAGTGTGGCAATGTTATTTTCACAACGAAAGAGCATCTATATCCTATGTTTTTCTATTTGTTATTTTATTATAAAAATATCCAGACTAGATCACACTGCAGTATTATTGAGCCCTGAGAAACAAGGTCTCTTCTTGAATTGGGAAGGGGGTGAAAGAGATGAGCTATTAGGTTAATAAGACACACTAAATAGGTTGTGTTCCCTGGAGATTGTCAGACATATCTCACACTGCACATTACATAATCCAGAAATTTATTTTGCATAATCAGGTCTGCTTTCAAATTATTTCACATCCTTTTCATATTTATGGATTTAATTGACTCAATATCAGCAGATGATTTAAATAGTGCTTCAAATGAAATGGCATACAACAAGAGAAACTACCTGGAACAATTTGACAATGAATTAAAGTTAAAACCCCTTCGTGGAGAAAGCTGACTTTTGATTGGTATATGTTCAGCTTTCTCTCTCACTAGATTATAAATTGCATGAAGTTTGGATAAAATGACTTCCTGTTCATCTTATAATTTTTAGTATTTAGCTCTATAAACTCTTGATAAAATGAATGAATTAAACATCTTAGTGTATATAAATTTAAGATTTTATTTGTTACAAATGTGCTCAGCAAACTATTTTTCACTCTATAGCGATCACATGAATGGTCATTTTCCCTCCCTCCCTCCCTTCCTCTACATGCACACATGCGCACACACACAGGCACACACATGTGTTCTGTTTCATTATTTTCTAAATAAAACTAGTGATGCTTCACCAGGTTTGAAAATATTACATCATTACACTGAATTACATAATACATGTTTCTGAAAGCAACAAGCAAATATTAATGGAATAGAAAAATAAATACTAATGGAAAAGAATATGAAAAGTGAAAGCGGTTGAGATTTCAGCATCTAGGCATCAGTTCCCACAGCTTTCTCTGAGCAGGCAGGCTCAGGGTATGCTCATAGTACCCTAGGGCTTCATTCATTTCCCCTCTCAATTCATGGACAAACTCTAAGACACTCAAGCCTTCCTTGTCAAATGCATTTCTCTGAAGTTTCCTTAAAACTAATTTCTCAAAAGGATTAATACTTTTGGGGGGGGGGGTAAAGGGGATTGAACTCGGGACCTTGTGCTTGCGCGGCAGGCCCCAGAACCACTGAGCTAAATCCCTGGCCCAGGATTAATACTTTTATCTCTTATAAATGATGACTCTCCTATTTGTGTTGCCTTTAAATAATGGTTAATTGCATCAGTGTTAGATTTCTTTTGATATTCCAGAAATCTGCCATAGTAGAAATATCTCTCTTGTACTGTTTTTCTCACATGGTTTCATGTGTAACAACTTTTGAAAACTGTCTTCAACTTCTCTGTACTTCCCTGCTTCAATATACATAAGTGCCAGGTGCAGAAGAGCAATGTCAAATGTGGGCTTTTGTTTTAGAGCAAATTCCAAATAAAATATGGCTAATCTTATATACCTGTCCATATCCTCTCTCTCCTGACCTCTTGGGTGTGTATATGTAGTAGCCACCTTTATTTGGAATACTTTTGCCCTGTAGCAAAGCCCTACCTGATGATTCAGGAAAGCAGAGGTGGTTGTTGCCTGCAAGGCCTTTTGAAGAAGCTCAAGAGCTTTATCTACACAGTTTTCTTTTTGATAAAACATGGCTGCATATCGAAAGATATAGATCTGGGAGGACCTCTTGCTCAGAGCTTCTTCAATGTACTTTTCTCCTTCAGCTGCCTGACCTATATCCTGAAGTTTCAGGGCAAGGAGGACTTTGATGTATGTATCTTCAGGATTCAGCCTCATGGCCTTTCTCAGGGGGCCTAGAGAAAATGCTTTCCCATTCTTGCACACTTTGTTAGCATAATCCAGGTGACAGGCCATGATAGCATACCCAGTATTAAATTCAGGGTTTTCAGGCTCCATTTCCAAAGCATTTTGAAAGCAGGCCTGAGCCCGCTCCTAATTCTTTCTTCTACACTTCAGCAAGGCCCATCCTTCCTCACAGTCCATTTCAGGGCACTCCATTCTATAGTGAAAGGGACTTGATAACTTCTTACAAACATTCTGAGCCTTGTCCAGATACATCTTAGCATCTGCCAACCTGCCCATGTGGTAATGCACCCAGGCATAGTTGCCCCAGGCCACCAGGCTTCTCCTGTCTAACTGGTCAGCCTGCTTTCTCTGGATTAAGTCTTCAGCATCTTTCAGGCTCTGCAGGGCTTTGTCATTCTGGCCTTTCAGGTGTTTCACATAGGCCAGAAGGTTATAAATTCTCACACTGTACTTGGTGCTGAGGAACTCAATCTCTTCCAAGACCCTGCTTTCTAAATCTGATAATTCAACTTCTTCAATTACCAGTTCCCATGTAAAGTGACATTTCAGCTGAACTAGGCAATCCTTGACCTGGTTATCATCAACGTTCTTACTGTAAAACAAAAGCAATCTTGTTAGGTGATGAACAGCCAAAATAAACAAGCCAAGTAGAACCCTTGGTACAATTTTAGCACTATTCTGAAAGTCTCCCATTTACTGAGATTTTCCTTAGAGTCACTGGATTTGTAAGAAACAAATGGACAGAGACTATAATTTGCTTCATTCCACATGGTAATTCCAGCACCACTGTGTGCTCTAAGGTCCCATTTATAAAGTGGGGATAACAGCAGTGCTCATCAAAGTGGCCTTTGGGAGGACTAATAAGCCTATGTATATATAAAGTGCTTATAGCATATTATATGCTATGGAAGCGTTTCTTATTTTATTATGAAGGCCACCGAAATGATATAAAATTTGACAAAGTTTATGTTTTCACTTGGAAATACTTATAGATTCTCAGAAAGTTTTTTTTTTTTTCAGTACCTGGGATCGGACTCAGGACCTTGCGCTTTCGAGGCAGGTGCCGGAACCACTGAGCTAAATCCCTGGCCCATCTCAGAAAGTTTTGAAGAGAGTGCCTGGATCCAATATCCTTTATTCAGTTTTTCCTAATGACTATAACTTATACCACTGTAGTATAATGGCCAAATTAGGAACTTTACATAGGGAAAAGACTGTTGTGTATGGCTCTGTCATCTTTCTCTAATGAGTAAGTCTCTGTAACCATCACCTAGAGCAACATTCAGAAGAATTACTGCATCACCACAACAGCCACTTCATGCCACTCCCTTATAAGGGCACTGTGATCTCTTCCTCAGAACTTCCAGAATTCACACCACTGTAACCCACATATTTGTTCATCTCCGTAATTTTGTCATTTCAAGAATGGCATGTAAATGGAGAATGTCATACAAAAGGTAGTTCAACACCTAAAAGTCAATTAATGTAACATACCATTAACAGAAAGAAGGAAAAAATTATGCTTGTTGCACTTCATACAGAAGAGTGGCTGACAAAATTTAACCCTACTTTCTTGATTAAAAACACTCAATGAATAATTAATAGAAGTCAATTTCCTCAAAGCAATAAAAGCCACATATGAAAAACCTAAACTAGAATCATCTTCTTGATCCTAGTACCAAACAAAAAAAATAAAACAACCCCCCCAAAACGAATCATCCTCAATAGTTGATGATGGAAAGCTCTTCCTCTAAGATCAAGAACAAGGCTAAGATAGCAGTTTTCATGCCTTCTAGTCAACATGGATCATATTATAGGCACAAAAACCTAAGGATGCTCCACAGAAACTGTTAAATCTAAGAAGCAAATTTGAAGGATCCAAAACTAACATATAATAGTCAGTTGTTTTCCTATAAACAGATAATGAATGATCCAAAAAGGAAATTAAGGAAATACTCCTATTTATAGTATCCTAGAAAAGAATAAAATATCTAGGAATAAACTGAAAATTAGAGTTTTTGCCGAAAGAAAGAAGACTCCTATTAATGGAAAAACATCCCTTGTTCATAGATTGGAAACTTAATATTATGAAGATAACAGTACTTCCCAAAATGAAATACAGATTCAATCCAACCCCTATCCAAATCCCAACAACATATTTTTGCAGAAATAGAAACTTTCATCCTGAAACTTATGTGTAATCCTAAAGGATCAAATTGCCAAACCAATTTGAATTTCTCACACTTTCTGATTTAAAAGGAAACTAAAATAACTACAGTAGGAATCAAAAACATATAGTAATCAAAACATTACAGTACTTGCATAAAGACCATGTGAAAGTAATAGAGACATATAGGACAATGGAAGATAATGGAGATATAGACCAACAGAAGAGAGCCCAGAAGTAAACCCTAGAATATATGGATATATTAGCCCATTTGGGCTGTTATAACAACACAGCACATATTGGCTGACTTAAAGAACAGAAACTTATTTCCTCACAGCTCTGGAACCTAGAAGTCCCAGATAAAGGTCCCAGCCCTTACAGTTCCCACTAATTGTTTCCTCAATTGTCCATGGCCACCTTCTTCCAGCATCCTCATATCACCTTTCCTCCCTGGCTCATCAACACAGACTATACTGTGTCTCTTCCTCTTCTGCAAGGACATCAGTCCTATAGAAGTCAAACCACATCCTTCAACCTTCATTGGACCTTTTACACTATCTACAAATAATGCCACATTCAGAATTAGGGTTTTAAGCTATGATTTTGGGAGAGGACACAGTTCAGTCCATAATTATGCTGAAATGATTTTTGACAAGAGTGCCAAGACCACTCAGTGGAAGAAAGGACAGTCATTTCAACAAATGGTGTGAGAAAGTGGAAAACCAGGTGTAAAAGAAAGAAGTTGGGGGTTTGGGACATAGCTCAGTGGCATAGAGCCTGTTAGGAAGCTCAAGGCCTTGAGTTCAATTTCTGGTACCAAAAAAGAAAAAAGAAAAAGAGGACACCCCCAAGAATGAAGATGGCCCCTTACCTTATGCTGTATACAAAGATTAACTCAAAATAGACCAGAAAATTGAGATGTAAGACTTAAAACTACAGAAGTTGTAGAAGACAACATGAGGGGGGATTTTCATAACATTGCATTTGATAGTGTTTTCTTGGTTATGATATCAAATTAATAGGCAATAATAATACAAATAAATAAGTTAGACTTTATCAAAACAAATAGTTTTTGTGCTTCCCAGGGTACTACCAGCAGTGATAAGTCAACTCCCAGGATGAAAGAATATACTTACAGTCATATATCTGATACGAGAAGTGTATGTAGGATATATATTTTTAAAACCCCTACAACTTATCGACAAAAAAATCAAACAACTGACTTTAAAAATTGTCAAAGAATTTGAGTAAAATTCTTAAAAGAAGAATCATAGAGGCCCAGGGATTTAGCTCAGTGGTTCCAGCGCCTGCCTCATAAGCTGAAGGTCCTGAGTTTGATCCCTGGTACCAAAAAAAAAAAAAAAAAAAAAAGAAGAGTCATAGGGCCAGCAACATATGAAAATATGCTCAACAGCAATAGCTGTTAGAAAAGTGCAAATCAAAACCATAGTGCAGGTGGATGAGGTGGTGTAATCCATCTACTTGTGGGGCTAAGGCAGGATGATCACAAGTTGGAGTTCAACCCACATGACCCGGTCTCAAAATAAAATAAATGGACTGGAGAAGTAACCGGTGGTAGAGTGCTTGAGAGATTCTGGGTTCAAACCCAATATGAGAAAAAATGAAACAGAACCAAAAAAAAAAAAATCCCACCACAACCACACACACAATAAAACCAAACCAAAACCAGTAACAGGGAACCAAGATACCATTCTCTCCCACAAAGTTGGAATAATAATGAAAAACTAGAAAACAAGCCAGGTACAGTAGTGCATACATGTAATCCCTGCCCTAAAGGAGGCTGAGGCAGGAGGATCATAAGTTTGAGCTCAGGCTGGTCAACTTAGCAAACCGTGTCTCAAAATAAAGCATAAGAAGGGATGAGGATATAGCTCAGTGGTAGAGTGCCACTGGATTTAATTCCCAGTACTTCAAACAAACCAAACAAAAAGAGGAAAATAACAAGAGAGTATTGTCAAGGATCTTGAGGAATTAGAACCCAAATACATTGCTGGTAGGAATGTAAAATGCTAGAATTGCAGTAGAAAGAAGCCTGGTGGTCTCTCAGTAAATCAAAAACAGAGTTACCATATGACACACTCCTAAGCACATGATCCTCGTTATACTCCATACTTGAATAAATGCTCCAATTAATTTCAAACACTAGTGCTAATGCTCAAATACTAATACATGGACATTCACTGGAACACTATTCGAAAGGTGGAAATCACACAAATGTTGAGCATTAATGAGTGGACAAACAGAACAGAGTGCAGGCACCAACTGGAATATTGTTCAGCCATGAAAAACAATGATACTGATACCTGCACAACATGGATGAGCCTTGAAAACATCATGTTAAATAAAAGAAGCCAGCACAAAAGGAAATTGTTGGGCTCCTTTTCCTCATTTGGTTTGGAGGTCTCTTTCTTAAGAGCAGCACTTTCATGGGGGTTCAGGGCATTCACTCACAAAGGTT